ATGATAGCAGTGCATCAAACCTAAATTCTCTTTAGTTCAAAAGATTCAAAAAATTAAGAAAATATTTATTACAATCTACCTTAGAATTAGACTAACACGAAATACAGCAAATTCATTTAAGAGAACTAAAACCTATCAACATTAGTCCAGAAGTTGTTTTAAAAAAAAAAAGTATAACATTGAACATACGGAAGCATACATCGTTAATGGATATGTATCTAATTCTAATTTTTAGACTATAGAATTTGAAAATTTTAAGATTTATAAAGATTAAGAAATGTTGTGGATTACGTCTTCCAAGATAAGTAGCAAAAATTAGCGATTGTATCTTAATATAAACATTAATATATTTGTAATGATGCGGTCTTCTTAAAGATACTGGGAAATTACGCCAACGTAATTTTTAAGATAATAATATAATATTTTGTGGTTTTGAATTTGATATAAAAAATGGATGATATTTGTAAATAATAGATTCGCAGTCATATGTAAATAAAACAAAATAAACAAACAAGTGAATTCATTAGTGTCACTGGGAAACGTTTAAATAATTCCCCACACTAAGGTGGCGAAAGGTGGCGACTCTACCAGGACCAAAGGAACCTACAAATAATTGAAATGGATCAAGAGCGAAATTCTCAGAGGGAGATCTACATGTTGAATATAAACATTAAATGCATAGAACGCAACACCGCAAGCAGCGACAAATCGAGCATAATCTTGGCTTTAGACAAAATAACAAATTTGTTGGCAAGATTTGAAATGGCAAAAGATGAGCTGACCAGAAAAATGCTGGATGACGGCGAAAGCATTGATACGGTTGAAGAATGGTTATCGAAACCAATAGCAATACTTCTAACATATCAAACATTAGCAAATTCAATTACTTAATGGAACTCGTCGAAGGAAAACCATACTTGGTTTACCACACTCGTTGGAAGGATACGAAGAAGCTAAGCGTATATTACAAGACACTCATGGAAAAGATATTTGGATTCACAAAGCATTGATTAACGATCTTGAAGGAATGATGGCTATACACAATACGCACAAAATTAAAGAAGTTCACGATTTTTATAATAAACTTGCAAGAACAGTGCGAACATTAAAAACGATGCACAAACTACAAACTGCTCAACCATTTGTGTATTCATTAATGGATAAACTTGGACCGGTTCGTGAAATACTCACACAAAACGATGATGGATGGGAAGAATGGGGACTGGAGCAACTCGTCGAAAAAATACAAAAAAACATAGAAAGAAATCCATTGAACTCCGATTTCAACACTGAACAAATAAAATACGATAAAAAGAACCCAAACGTACAGTCAAGGTCTTATGAAAACCGAATCAGTGCATTCAAGCAACATAATAGTGGTAATTATGATAAATCAATGATGACAAGTGTTGGTAAAAATGAATGTATTAACTGTGGGTTGCGAAATCACAAAAGCGAAAGTTGTATAAAAGTGTTAAACGTTGCTAGACGCAAGGAGATTTTAAAAAACAAAAGATTATGTTACAACTGCATTGGTTATGAAAATTCCGCGGCAAATTGTCAATCAAGAGGATGCAGAAAGTGTAACAAAAAACATCACACGTCAATTTGTCAAAATGTAAATGCAACAAAGGACGATAAAAAAGAAACCATGGAAACGGTGTTTAATGCGAGTACTACTATTCACCCGACAGTAATGGCAAAGGTAAATGGTGAAAAAGCAAGGATTATGTTGGATACGGGTGCTGGAAGTTCTTATATATGTACAAACTTGATAACAAAACTGAAGTTGAAACCTACACGAAGGGAACATAAAACCATCGAACAATTATATGGAACGGTAAACAAACGTGTGGAAATATATAATGTTACGCTAGAATCAATAACAATACCGGAATTTCACATCAAGATTAAATGCATCAACGCAGAAAAGGAAATACTGACCTTTTTACCCAATCCGATGATTAAGGAGGTAAAAAAGCAATTTGCTAGACTTAGGAGATTGAAATTTAGTAATGATGGAGAAGACGATGAAATACAACCTGTTCACATAATACTTGGAGCTGCTGATTAACAACGAATAAAAACTACCGAGCCGATGGTTCTCGGAAAAAATCCGGATAAAGATCCCGGAGCTGAATTGACTATGTTTGGATGGACTCTCTCTGGGAAACAAATGGAATTAAGCTCTGGTATTGAAAAGGGTTTTTTATTAAACACTGGTCGTGATGAGTTCGAGCAAATGTGTAGTCTTGAAGTTCTTGGATTGTCAGACACAAACAATGAATCAATGTTCCACCAAGACTTTAGCGAAAAGCTGCTGCACCAAACAAACAAAGGTTATTATGAAACTAGAATGCCTTGAAAAAAGATGTTGTTAAACTGCTGAACAACAGAGATCAGGCAATTAAAAGATTAAAAAGTACAACAAATCGATTGGAAAAACTTAACAAACTAAAGCAGTATAATGAAATAATGGTGGAACAGATCAGTGAGGGAATACTGAAAAAAGTGCCAGAAAAACCAGCGGGAGAAATTGTTCATTACATTCCATATCAAGCTGTATCCAAGGAAAATGCTGAGTCAACATAAATGCGAGTTGTTTATGATTGTTCAGCAAGAAAAGATGCTTAATCACCTTCATTGAATGATTGTCTAGAAGTGGGACCTTCGCTGCAACCTCTAATATTTGACATTCTAATACGAAATCGGATGAACAAACTCTGCGTTTTAGCTGACATTAAGAAAGCATTTCTACAAATACGAATTCAAGATATGGATAGAGTAGCACAACGATTAATTTGGAATGAAGACTTAAAGAAAATGAAATTAATGGAGTTACGATTTACAAGAGTAATTTTTGGTTCCAGTTCAAGTCCTTACATTCTCGGCGCTACGATTAAAAAACATATATCAAAATACAAGGATATTTATCCAAAGACAGTAGTTGCTTTGGAAGAAGATACTTATGATGCAACTTACTTGTAGCAAAAGCACGGATTGCACCAAAGGATCTAAGTATTCCAAGACTCGAGCTAGTAGCTGCACATACCTTAAGCAAGTTGATGAACCATGTCAGGAAAATATTAGTCAATTATAACATTAGTAAAGTTTTTAATTGGGTTGACAGCACTGCTGTACTTTATTGGCTGAAGGAAAGAGGCAGTTGGTCACAATTTGTAAGAAACCGAGTTCAGCAAATCTTATTAAATGGAGAAGTAAAATGGCTTTATGTCCCAACAAAAGAAAACCCTAGCGATCTTGGAGCAAGAGGAGTGAGTCCGGAAAAGTTGTCAAGCTTGTGGTTCAATGGTCCAATATGGTTGAGTTATAAAGAAAATTGGTCAAACCAATCGGAAATATTTGATAACTCATATGGCACATTATGTGAAAGTATTGCTCTAAAGGAGAACATCTGGATGGTAACAGAAGAAATAAAGGAAAATCGCACTTTTGAAGAATTGTGGAATAAATATAACTATTGGAAGATTTTAAGGATATCGTCGTTTATAAAAAGGTTCATTTACAATTGTTGCAATAAAGAAAAAATAGTCGGACCAAAAACGGAAGAGATGATAGAAGCCGAAACGGTCAATATTAAACATCTACAAGGATCTGTTGTGCTAAAAGCCGATGTGGAACTTAAACAGGATGAAAAGAATCTTTGGAGGTGTCATGGAAGAGTTACTGGGTATAGCCTAATATTTATACCAAAAGGGCTCTTACTAACTCTACGAATTATTGAGCACCATCACACCAAAACCTTACACGGAGGAGTCGGAGATACCATGGCTAGCATAAGAGAAAGATTCTGGATACCGAATTTGAGAGTGGCCGTTAAAAAAGTTATTCGTAGTTGCAATTTGTGTAAAAGGTACAGAGTGAAGCCTCTGTTACCACCAACAAAAGCAATGTTACCGCACTTTAGAACTGACAATGTTGAACCATTTGCAGTTAGTGATGTTGATTTTGCCGGACCGTTAAAGTATAAAGTACCAAAAAATTCGATTAAAAAATGCTACGTTGCACTTTTTACATGCGCAAGCACTAGAGCCGTTTATCTTAAACTTTGTCATGACCTATCAGCAGTAGAATTTCAGAGGGTTTTAAAAGAATTTGTTGCGAGGAAAGGACCACCTCAGATGATAATCAGTGACAATGCGAAAACATTTGTGGCAACAGGGAAGTGGTTACTTACACTTAAAAACGACGAGAATATTGCCAACTATCTTGCTATACAAGTTATAAAATGGAGGTTTAATCTATCAAGAGCCCCTTGGTGGGGAGGTTTGTTTGAAAGATTGATTGGAATAATGAAGAAAAGCTTATCTAAAACTATCGGTAAAGGGATGCTTACTTTTAATGAATTAGAGGAAGTATTGTTGGATGTTGAGTGCTCAATGAACAATAGACCACTTTGGTACCAAGGTGACCAGTTCGACAATCAAGTACTGACACCAAACTTATTAATGAGGGGAAAACCTGCAATATTGCTTGAAGAAGATATTGCTTTAATTGCAAAAGAAGAATATGCAATACGGAGAGCCAAGTTTATAAAAAACTGTAAAACCCATCTGAGAAAAAGATGGATGAACGAATATATACATGCAATGGAAGAACGACAGCAAGTAAGGAATAAGGGAAGTAACATAAAACTGCCAGTTGTTGGAAGCGTGGTACTTATTACAGAGGATATAAAAAACAAAGCACTTCTAAATATTGGACGAGTTGAAAGTGAAATCAAAGGAAAAGATGGAGTTACGCGTGGCTTAAAAATACTATTAGGGAACGGTTATGTTATTGAACGACCAATTTAACTGGTGTGTGACCTGGAAATCGATTTTAAGGCAGAGAGTATGATTGAATCTAAAAAGAACGTGGAAATTGGTAAAAAAGTGGAAACCCTAAAAAGAGTACCGAGACGGGCGAAATTAGATGCAAGACAAAAAATCAGTTGCATCATGGAAGACGAGATGGCTGATTAAAGCCGAAGTCTCAGCTTTAATCAGGGGAGTGTGTTGTGGATTACGTTTTCCAAGATAACTAGCAAAAATTAGCGGTTGTATCTTAATATAAACATTAATATATTTGTAATGATACGGTCTTCTTAAAGATACTGGGAAATTACGCCAACGTAATTTTTAAGATAATAATATAATATTTTGTGGTTTTGAATTATATATAAAAAATGGATGATATTTGTAAATAATAGATTCGCAGTCATATGTAAATAAAACAAAATAAACAAACAAAGTGAATTCATTAGTGTCACTGGGAAACGTTTAAATAATTCCCCACAGAAAGTAGGGTATTGGTGAACACCTAAGCGAGAATGCGAATTAAAGACACGTTATAAACAATTGATCACATTTATTGCTTATCATTTAGTCTAACTATTCAATCACAAACCCTCAAAAGCAACTTATATATATCTTATTATAAAATAAATATTTAGAGCAAAAATAAAACAGTTGGTGTTCGGAATTACCCCACGTACCGAACATACCTTGGGATAATCAAACACTGTTGTGTAATAACGTATAAAATGGTAATTCTAATAACTAACTTCATAAATCACAGCATGTAACCTCCATGCTCACATCCACTAGGCCTTGTACTTTTCTTTGCAAATTAAACAAAGAAGTTCTGCATCACCTCTTTGGCTCTCTTTTTTTCTTTACATGATGGTACATAGTCAACCTCTAATAGATTAAAGCTTTTCTTTCTCCTTTTACTTTAACCAGTTTATCATTTTTTACTTCTTCCTTTTATTTTTCTCCTAAATATTTCTCATTGGCGAACTAGTAATAATAATAGTGTAATGTTTCTTTCTTCAACATTCTCTGGTTTTTACTCTATTAATTAAAATTCCAACAATTTATCTGTTAAAATCTGACATATTTAATAATGTAATCTAACAATTTATCTACTAAAATTAAAAGTGACAAAAGTAAGAAATATTAAAGTTCTGACCGCCTGATGTCCGTGTGTTATCAATGACACTGTAGACGTTCGAAATTACTCTACTAAGATCGTTCATTATTTCCCCGCAGACACAAACAAATGAAATACAATTAATCTATTGAGGTTGTATTGACATAAATAACCCAAAATGTTAAAAAACTCCTTGATTATATACAATGCAACAACAGCAACAAAAGAAGTGGTTTTATATCCATAGTCGATACAACAGGAATGTTTCTCAAGCAAAAAATTACAAGAAATTATCAGAAAAAGTTAGGATCAATTTATTGGGAACAACGAACGCAGCTTCATTACACTACTGCACGTTTGGAACTGAGTTTAGGAACCCTTCTCAGCATCTTTTTTTATTATGCCGTTTTGACCATGTTCGGAGTTACCCCGAGTTCACCATTACCCTACTCTTCCTATAACTGTTACTTAGGACATTCCAGAAAAAAAATACTCGAATTAGAAAAAAAAGTTAAAAAAGATAAAAATAAAAGTCGTATAAGTGAAAAGGAAACTACATCAGCTGGACGATAGACTCATAATACCAAACTTTAGTATTGATAGGCTTCCTAAAAACGATCAAGGATCTTGTGGTGAAACTAAAAAAAAAAATAGTACGTATAAAATTTAATATAAATTTAATGATATTATTTAATATAAAAAATGTTGATATTGAGAGGGATCGTAGAATTGGTGAAATTAAAAGAGCAAAATAAAATATCTTTATTCTTTTATTCTTTTAATTAACTTAAAGAAACAGAAATTAATAAGATCTTCGGAAACTATAATAATAAGAAAAAAGCTATTGGACGAAATGAAGATTTATAAAAAAGGAAACATTCTTCTTTAAAATATAATAAATTTATAGGTAGAGAATTTAGAAAAAAAGTAAACGAGTGTTTCATTACTTTATAACTTATATTTTCTTAAAACAAATTGTTTAATAGTTTATTAAAATTCACTTAGGAACGTAACAAATTGTTTTACATAATTCAGAATTTAACTTATTACAAAATAATAAGAGGATTCTTTTAGATCAACATTCTAACCCGTATTTTTATGGTAATTACAAAATATTTCAAGATATTAACACTTGATATTACAACAATTCTGCAAACATAGTTGATCAAATGGATGGAAGGAATGAATTTAAATTCGTTTTCAACTTTGCGCTTAAATAGTTTGTGTGTATTTATAAATGGTATTATACTCTGTTATCCGAACTAAAATAAGATTTGTACTCATCTACTAAAAAACCCACAAAAAAACATCATCGTCCGCGGTATTTTTTTTGTGGTTTTATTTAGTGGTAGATTTTAATCTCACATTATGAGGCATTCAAATAAAATAATAAAATTTTTTTTAACGTCATCTATCAAAAATTCTACATTCCATTAATTAATAAGCCCGATAAAATAATTAGAGAAACCACAACAGCCATAAATCAATTAGCCGTCGAAAATTTAATATATATATATATATATATATATATATATATATATATATATATATATATATATATATATATATATATATATATATATATATATATATATATATATATATATATATGATGTTTAAACCATAAAAAATACTGAAACTTTTTAGTCTGAATGGAGAATTTTTTTTTAGTTTTTTCTTTAGTTTTGAGTTTCTTAAATGGCCTGGCTGTCCGCATTTTTCCACTCTATCTTTCTAACTCAATTTCTTACGACTTTTACATAATATTTTTCTGTTTTTTTAAACTCACTTATCTTGGTCCGTGGCTGCGGGTTATGAAGTTCTTTAGTAGGCTGAACTTGTCTTTTGCGGATCTTGGCATATGGCCTCCGAATGGCAATTAACTAGAAAATGATAAACCACAATACTAATATGTAAATACGGTATTACGCATAAGTTATCCTCATTTTTGACACTTTAAAATTTGTTTTGTTTTCATACTGCGCAAAAAGCTGCGGTCCGCGTTTGCTCGAAATTCGTAAATTCGGTAATTTTTTATTAGAGGCTCACATGATGGATATTTTGCAAAAGAATAAAACGTCATTTTGATAATAAAATATTTACTGTAAAATATTTGTAAAAAAAATTTGAATGTTGTTTTAAATTTTCTTAATAATTAAATATTTGCTCAAAAAAAAACTGATGAAAAATCAATTAATAATTATAAATCAAACTAAAGAAAATAAATAGGAAGATGAAAGAAGAATTTATTTTTTATCAAGAACTTTTAAGTTTACTAAAGATTTACTTTTTATCAAGAACTTTTAAGTTTGTTCGACTTTCTATATCAAAATATTTTCAAATATAATTTTTTAATTTGGAATTTTTTGTTTGTTTGTTTTATTGCTTTATATTTCGCTTTTACGATTTTATTTAATTATTTCTTATCGTGTTATCCAAATATTTCTGAATTTTACGAGTCCCTTGGACAACTTTTTTTAAATCAGAGAATTTTATATACAATAATTTATTTTTGATTTTTGCGTTTACTTTTTTGTAATATTATGAGCATTAATTAGCCGGCTGACATAATAAATTGCAGCTTTTAATCTCTCTTTAAAACAAAGTATTTATTCTAAAAAACTTTAACTTGCAAGGATTTATCTGTTTTTAAATTAGATGTTTCTAATCTTTCAGACCACAAATTTCAGACCAATTTCCGTTCTCTCTTGTTTTTGTTTAAGTTTTTATCAACTTTTTACTTTTATATTTGTAAATAATATTCTATACAACAAACAATTTCGGTTTCAGTCTAGTAATTTCAATGAGTATAACTATTGTTACGACAAATTAACTGCATAATTAAGGGCATTTCATAAAAAAATGTTTGCATTCAGATATTAGCATTTTATAAAAAAATTAGAAAATTATGGTATTAAACACAGATACATAGACTGGCTAAAATACATAGGGTAGGCCGGGGTACGTTGACCCGTTTTTTTTCTTTGATGTGTAATTTTTTAGTTTATTTTTTTATAGAAAAAGGTTGGAAAGACCCTAGATTACCCAAAATAACATTATCAAAAGTTCATAATTGGTTTTTAATACATTTTAAATTTGTTAATCAATTTTGTTAAGTTATTTTGGATGGGCTAATGTGCCTGGCTATTGGGGTACGTTAGTCCATCAGTTGACCCAGTGGTATAAAACAGGAGCAAATTTAGTTTTTACTATTTTTTTTTTTTTTTTAATCATTTTATGTCTTATTTTTCTCTAGCTCACTTTTGTTTTTTATTTTCAAAACATTTCAAAACACAAAATATTGTTTTCGGAAATAATATAACAAGCCATTTAACCACAACAACAACAAAATTTGTTGAAGATTGATTTTAACATATGGCCAATGTGCCTCCATTTGATTGGGCCAACTTGCCCCGACGTAATGTTTATTGTATAAGCGCTTTTGTTTTTAAACCATTAAACAATATTATTTAGCACGAAAATAGTCCTTAAACTATAAGCTTTATATAATTAAAACTTCCTGATTCTAACATAATTAGAGAGCAAGCATTGGTTTAAAAAATTGCAAAACTAAAGGTATAAATGATATTTAGAATTTTCTAGATGAGGTTCTCGAAGAAAAAAACCCCTGGAGAGAACACATTATTACAATAGCCCAGTAAGCACAGGACGTTTTGAAAACGTTTAAAAAACTTAAAAAAAACAAATATTAACGTTTTTAAACGTTTTAAAAACGATCTGTGCTTACTGGGAGACAAAATAAAAGATAAAAGTTTAAAAAAATATAGGCATACTATACAAAGCCAAACAATTATTAAATCTAAAATCAATTAAACTAATAATCTTATATTTCAAATTTTGATCTATTGCGATCAAAAATCCTAAATTATTATCTATTGCGATCAGAGGTCCTAAATTATGGAATACTTTATTAAATAACAACTTGAAAAATTGCTTTTTTTTCCTTTTTTTATTCAAACAAAAATTTTTATTGATGTATATGAATTAAGTTCACTTTAAGGTTTCTTTTATTCATTTATTTTTTATTATTGTTATTTTTATTATTTTTATTATTTTTTTAAACAGCTATGTTATTAACTTGACTCCAAATTTTGTTCATGTTATTTTCAAAGGTTTTCTTTGTTTTTTTTAAAGTTTTGATTTTAAATTTGAATCAAATTAATTATTTATCAAATTTTGAACAAAATAATCTAATGAGATATATATTGAATGAAGCAGCTTTAAAAATAACCATTTTAGTATGATAAAGTCAGTAAATTCATATAAGTTTCATATTAAAAAAGAAATTTTGAAATCAAATGAAAGCTTTGAAATTTAATATATAAACTTTTTATATTAAACTAAATTTCTTATATATTATATCTTTGAAGAAACTTATTTCATTGTATTTTACTCTCTATATATAACGGAGATAATGCCCATATAGAGGCTCTATAAATAGATTGCGATGACAAAGGTCATCCGTATCTTAGTTCATAAACAGACATGGCTGTTTATAGAAGTCGTTTTTTTATTATTAAAACGTTTTTTGTATTTAAAAATATTTCTTTTAACTACTTTTTTAATTGCATAAACAACCAAAAAAAGAAAGAAAGAAAAAAAAGAGATACAATTATTAATATTTTCTTTTATTTATTACTTGCATTTAATTAACTGGCTAATATTAAAACGGGTAATCTTAAAAGTATTTGTATTTAATGTTTAAATGATTTTTGTATCTAAATGGTACTGGTATCATTTATAATGACTTTAAGAAACACTTTACAATAAAAGTCAAAAATCTCAAAGAGTACGCTTTGACAGGGTTTAGGCAGTTGATTTAAGTTGAACTTTTAATTTTAAATATTATATTTTGAAAATATCGTATTTTATCAAAATTTTCTAAAGTTTGAAAGCATTTGTATAAAATGCACATAAAACAATTTTTCTTTTTTTGACCTAAATACTAGGATCCTAGTATTTAAGTTGTTAAAATGTATTGAATAAACTTTTAATTCTTAAAATAAAAAATCAAAGTTTTAAAATAAGTAAAAAAAGAATATTAACCCTATATTAAGAATATTAACCCCTATAAAAGAATATTAACCCCTAACCCTAACCCTAACCCTGACGGATGAAATTTCTTTCATTATTTAAATAGTGAACGTGATAGTTTCGGCAGTGCTTGTCATTTTCAAAAAATTTTTTGAATTTTTTTGCATGATTTTGCCGCACTTTGACCGCAATGCGACAAACAAAATAATAAATTGAATTATAACGAAAAATACAAAAATGGAAAAGTATCTGATGTTTTAAAACACAGCAGCATTTTTAAACCGTGCACTGTTTGAATTGAGTAAAGTTTACTTAGTAACTCAAAAAAAGTTTCTTTTTCTTTTGTTTCTTTTCTTTACATAACAGACCCAGGGATGCGGAGTCCCAAAAAAAGAGTGCGGGTTTGAAAGTTACAAAATGATTATTTTTTTCTGGTTTATGGTATCAAGGAACTCCAAAAATATATATAGGATTATGAACAACTTTTAAAAACAAAATTTGAAACTATTAGATGAAAAGAACAATCAAATTTTAAACCCGTAGTCTTTATGTATAATGGTGGTAAGTGCTCCGGGCTAAAAACAATAGGTTCCTTGTTGTTAAATCATATGAAATCTTTTCTTATTGAAGATTATTAGTCACATTTTTAGAATTCCTGAACATCAGAAACAAAAAAAAAAAGAGAAAAAAAAAGCCGGATTATAAAAAAGATTCCGGATTTGGGGCTTCGCATCCCTGAACAGTACTGATAAAAAAATACTTTGTTGTTTAATTGCTCTACTAGTAAAATTGTAATAAATATATCTCTAAAGAGTACAAAGTGGACTAAATTAAATAAAAGATGAAAATACCTATACTTAACTTATTATATGTAGTATGTTTCGTATGGTTGCGGTGTGAAAGTAGTTTCGTCAAGTTTGGAAAAATAAAAAAATAAAATGATTTCAAATTGATTTTGTAATACTTGATGTACTATGTTAAACGGAATTCTAGACAATTATGTGAAAATATCACGATTTTGCTATACAAATAAAAATTATATAGACTATTTTTAATAGAAATAAATAAAAAGTCAGAACTTATTTAATACAACGAGTGTTACTCCATTCACAGACTATTCGTTTGATTGTTTACTTGGGCTGATTCGTAAGCATCGTCCTCGTCATCTTTTTTAATTGCAACATTTAAAATTTCGTTATTAGGACATCCGTCACTTTCAGGAGATTTCAAAGTTAAAGATGCCCTACTGTTTTTTTTACCAAAAAAATCTGTTGTTTTAACGTAAATTGTTTCAGAAACAAACTTTCTAAAAACTTGCTTTAATCCGTTTTTGTAATCGCGATGCATAATCCCGTAAATAAAAGCGTTTAAAATACTATTGAGCAAAGGTAATATTTCACCAAACAAGACATAAATTAAATTTGAAGTAATCGATTTACCCGTTAAAACTTCCGTTACAACAATTGTGATGAGAGGAAACCAGCATATCATAAATGTACCATAAACAACTACAACAACCTTAGTAGCTCTAAACTCTATTCGTCTATTTACAAAAAATTTTGAGTCTGAAATAAGCTGCAAAAGACCAGAGCTCTTACGTCTAGCTTTACCTTGGACACTTCTGTTTATCGCTTCAATATGATTTGCATGAGAAAAAGTAACTCTTAAAATTTTAGCGTAAAGCAACAACATTGCAATACTTGGTATGTAGAATATCATAAAATATTGAATTACAGTTTCTATTCCATTGCTGATAGTGCATTGGTTATCTTTTATATGAGCAGCATCAAACTGAAGAGTTTTAAAATTAAAATTTGCAAATACGCCCCACAAACACGAATAAATCCATATAGAAGCAATTGCTATTCTTGCACACCTTTTACTTAATATTTTCTTGTAGCGGTACGGCATAGTAACGGCAAGGTATCTGTCGACAGCAATTGCAAATAAATTTGTAATTGAAGCTGCAAAAAAAGTAACATCTGTTGTAAAATACAATTTACAAATGGAGATCGAGCCACAAAAGTTATGGTTGTGTAGGGTTTGGTAAGCTTTATAAGGTATTATAAAAACAATGACAAGCAAATCACTGCATGCCAAAGAGACTATAAAGTAATTTGTAACATTCTTCCTCAGAGTTTTTGATTGGTAAAACACAAAAATTACTAAAATATTTGCAACAAAACCTACTAACAGAGCCACAATCCAAAATACAAAATACGCTAAAAATCTATTTTTTGTAGGTTTCATGCATTCGTCGGGCCAGTTTGGCTCATCACATTTTGAGGTTGCATTTTCAAGCTCTTGCAAATATGAGCTAATGAAATTCGTAAAAAATATCCAGAAATCTTTTCCAGTTTTGTTCATATAAACAGCACAATCATTCGCTGCTTTGTGTATTTGATCCTGTTGCACGTTTAAAGCTCGTTCAAAACAACATTGGAATTTTATTTCTCGCATTGTTAAATTCATTTTTTATTAGCGCTAAAAGTTACCAAACATTTCAATATTTTAAATTGAGTTTGATATAAAACCCGAAATAATTCATAAGGCTTGAAAACCAAAAAAAAAAGTCCGAAATGACTTACCTATTTTTATGTTTTTTAAGAAAATATTTACATGGTAAATTAATGCTTTCAAGTAAACTTATGTTCTTCCGAAAAGATATTCTTCCGTCTCTTTAATTAAACATTATTCTGTTGAGTTACTTTCTAAATGTTTCTATGGATTCAAATCCGCATAAATATCTAATTTTAAATGTCAATTAATAATACAAATCTTAATACTTTATTCTGCTTTTAACTAAGCAAAGCCATGCTTTTAAACAACTTTAATAATCTCTAAAAATGTACCGTATGTTTTTAAATAGTTTTTAGAGGTTTCTGGGGGTATTAGAATAAAAACGCTTTTTAAAATCGAAATAAGAAAAATCATAAATTATTAAGAATTCAAAAATGAAAATAATCTTCTATTAACAAAACCTTAAAGACTTATATATGTAATAAAAATAATTGATTTCTTACATATTTAAAAGTATGCACATGTAATATAAAACATCAACGCACACAGTGCAATTTATTTTGATGTCAAAGATTAGTTAAATATAAAATTTATATGCTGAACTTGTCTCCATGCTGTATCACGCCTTAAAAAATGATCGATGTTCAATCACTTTGTCTTTGCATAAATCAAATCCATTACAACGTGGTAAAAAATAGGAATTTTATTACTCAAGCAAAAAATTGATTTTTAAACATTTATGAAACAAACAAGGTATAAATAAATAAATAGAAAAAACAAGTTGTTTGATCTTATTATGCTGTTCTAAAATCAGGCTTCAACACAACAGCTCCGAGAGGGGCGTTGAAAATTTTTGACGAACACAAATTCAGCTTTCTGATTTGTTAAAGTTTGTGAAAACTTTCATAACTAAATTTTTAGCCAACAGTAGCAAAAAGTATTTCTAAATTGTTTAGTACGTCTCTTTACTAAAAAAACTTTAGTTACGAATATGTAAAATGGTAGTCTTTGATTGCAACTGAAAAAAGTAACAATTAACCACCTTTCATCATGCTCATTTTACACACTCGTTCACAAAACATAAAACAACTGTTATGGATAACGATACTTCAAGCTTATTTCTGTTTCAAATAAAGCTATTAAAACGAGTAGAAGATGGAGTTAAAATTTTTTTAATAAATGTAAACAACTTTTTCATTCAAAACTTAAAAGATTGAAAAATAAATATACAAAATCCTGAGTTAAAAAAAACAAAAAACAAAACAAAAACAAAACAAAAACAAACACTATTTAAAAAAAAAAAAAAGAAAAAAAAAAAAAAATTGTCTAAGCGTCTGTTTTATTTCCTTCTATAAAACTATTTACAATTTTATATTCAAAAGAATTTATCGCATCCTTAAAAATTTGGGGTAAAACTTTTCGGTTTACAATAACGATTTTAAGTATGGGTTGAAGAGTGTTTGTAAATAACAAGAATACTGCCTACAACGATAACTGAACCTATTAGGGCAAGACTCATACGGCGATAAAAAGAGGGAAGTTCATTTTTAACTCGCATCTGAATCACCTCTGGAGGTTTCTCTCCAGTACTCTGGAACATCTAAATTAAGCAAATTTTATTATTAAATTAAAAAAAAAATGATTTCTTGTTGTAACAAATCGCAGTCGCAATCAAAACACAATTAATCACATTTTCAATTAAACTACCTAACTAATCTATTGCGTTTGCAATGGCATTAAAAACTAATCTATTGAATTCACGATTAATATTATGAATGATGAAAATTAAGGACCCCACCGTAGGACCCCACCCCTCTTAAGGTAAAACATACGTACTATAATGATCATAATAATAATAACTAAATAAACCTTTTAAAATTTGTTAATTATTTATTATTAAAGTTTTATAATTGAATACTAAATTTGAATTCATATTCTTTTCATTCAACTATTTGAGGTTTAGTGTAACTATTTGCGGTTAATGTCAAGTGAAGATCAAATGGGATTTAGCTTTAAATAGTAAAAAATAAATAAAAAAGGATTTTAATGGCATTCAAAGCGCATCTCAGGATATGTAAATAATTTAACTTTTTTTGTATGAGCTAAATTAAGTAAAACTATTCTTTTTAATTAACCATTAGTGGTTTTATTCACCAATATTTCATAATTCAATAACGCAACGTTTAACGCCAATAAGAGCTCGTTCTTTTCAACGGTTAACCAATAAAAATATTAAATAAAGCAATCAATTCAAATTAAAATAATTTTTTTTTGTAATGTACCCGGTGGAAAATGAGCGACTAGCTAGCTTTTAGAGATTTTCTAGCGATTTTTTTTTTTCCTATTTTATTATTTTCTAATGTCTTTAACATCTTTAAAAATTCGATTTTTAGTGTTGAGTCTATTATAATTGTGAGGATAATCGAACTTTAAACATTGCGATTTTGTACCAATGTGTCGCTAGCTACATATCGTAGCTTTGTAGCTAGCTACAAAATATCTACAAATCTATAGCTGGTTGATAGCTACATATCAAATTTTTTTAGACAACGACTTTATAACGATATGACGCTAGCTACATTAGGCAGTGGGTCTTTAGCTTATTAAGCTGGCTGTCCTCTCAAATGTCTGTCTTTATCTTTACAAATATCGATAGCTTTTCGCTAACTTAAAAAAGCTAGCGATACTCGTGCCCAAATCGCTGACTTTATCATTACGATTATAGCTAGCTATTCGCTAGCCGATTTCCCACCGGGTACTTATTGAAGATGAAGATATTTGAAAACTCTGAAGTGGAACGTTTCTGGTGATATTCATTATGTGAAATTAAAAAGACCAAAAAATCATTTCTTAAAAATATAACAAATTTCTAAAATATATTACGGGAAAAAAAAAATGCTCTCATTGGTGTGGGGTGTTATGTTGATTTTTAAACTTTTCACCGTCATGACTTTTGATTACTAAGAGACTATTTAATGAAATTTTCTGTCGATGAATAAAAATTTAGTTAAGAGTAGGCTTATTTGAAAAAACTCATAAAGAAAATAAATACTGATATCAATAAATACTGATATTTTATTGTTGTTAACAAATTCATAATATTATCCAATTTTAATTAGTGAATTAAGAATAGAGGAAAAAAGGTGAACAAAGATTAAACTCAACTCTTTTTAATTTAAACTCATTTTGAATTTAATTTTTTGTAAGAAGTTTTTACAATTTTTATTAATAGAATATTCACAGAAATTTTTCGGTAAAATATTTGGAATGGAATTAAAAAACATTTAAACTTTTAAAAGTTTACAACTTAGTACAATGTTTTTCTTTGTTTACTTAAATTCTGAGTTTACTGAGAAATTTTCGACTTTTAAACCAAAAAATCTAAAACGATAGCAAAAACGCGTTCCTCAAGAGTATTATTTAAAAAAAAATGTGCAACTTCTAGACAAAAACTATAAAGAAAAATATGAGTTCCATTTTTTGATTGATATGAACAATTATAAGATCAGAACAACCATTTTCCTATTATTTTTTAAAAAAAGCCTAGTTTAAACCGAGAGCAATTACATAAATATTTTTTCTAACAATTTTTTTTTATCTTTAAATAATAATAATAATAATAATAATAACAATAACAATAATAATAATATATATATATACACACATAGGCGATTATATATATATATATATATATATATATATATATATATATATATATATATATATATATATATATATATATATATATATATATATATATTGGCTTGCATTTTCAATATCTAGTTTCCATCAAATTATTTTTATCATATTACATTAAATTTAAAAGTATTTTCCGAAAACGTTTTTTTGGTGTGTCAGCTTCTAAAAAGCCCAACTTTTCTGCAATGAGTTGTTTATGGAGAACATCATTAAAGTGGATTGATAATATATTTGTGAACTATAACTTTATTAAAATTGACAAAATAGAAGTGCCTTGTGTTTTTATTCGAGCTTTTAATTTTTGTGTGTGACTTTGGCTTAGATATCGATAGCCGTGTTAACCTACCCTAATCAACAACTAACCCTAACCCCAACCCAAACGCTAACAGTGATTTTCATTAAAACCAACAAGCAACAACAAACCTGTAATGGCGGTAGGATATTTTTACCGCTAGAGTGATTTATTTTTACAACACCTTTCACAAAAAACATGTTATTTATTGACTGCGTAAGTTGTGCTACATACGTCTACATCCGATTTACAATTGCTGCTTCTTTTTTTAAGTTCTTTTATATTACTTTATATTATTTTAAATTTTTTTATATTACTTTATATTATTTTATATTACTTACTTTCTATTTCAATCTTATCTGTAGGATGAGATTAAAGATACTCAATCTTATCTCTAGGATAAAACATGTTCAATACTAAATGTATTATTGTAATTCAATAGAATTTCCTATAAATATTTTATTTACATCGCATATAAATCTATTACTCTATTAAAAATAATAAATTCCAGGAACAGTAACTTACGAAAAAAAAATTATTAACTATAAAATAAGTTACTGAAAAAGTGGTGAATTTATCAAATAAATAGTTAATCAAATAAAACCCTGACCTTCAAGTGGTTGGAGTGACAACCTTAATGGCTTACATCGTAACTATTTATGACATTTAACAAACTATCAACTGTATTGAAAATAAATAAAAAACAAACAAACAACAAATATAGTATTTGAAAGTGTATTAATATACTACGTCAGAGACCTTCGCACCTAATTTCCATTGCAAAACATTTTAACCTCGATAAAGTTACTTTATAATTGAAAAAGAATAAAAATACCGTACAGTATTTATTTTCTCAAATAAAAACAATAACAGATAACCATTAAGAACTAGGTTTTATTTAAATAAGATTTAAATGGAGTTTACTGGTCCTGAGTCGCAAATCATTTGCTTAAGTTTCTTTATAAATTGTTTGCAACAAATTGTCAACCAGATTGCATACTTTTTTAACTCCATTTTAAAATGTATGAAGAAAATAAAAAATGAATTGTTAAATAATAATTATTTTACACAAGCACTAGCGTCGTGAATTGTCGACGCTGAATTATTCATAATAAATGTAGCGGTCAAAACATTATTGTAAGAAACCTTTCTTTTATTAAATTATCTTTCATAATTTTAGCGGTCGTTATAAGATGTATTTTGGCCACGACAAATAGTCACCCTACAAATTGTTTGGATACCTGATAACGCCAGTATATTTGCACATGTCTTTGTAGGTTTCAGTATTATATACGTAATTCTTCGATGAATCAAAAACCACAAAATATTTGCGTAAATAATGATATTCCGACTATGGTTCTTTTGGTATGAAAAGTTATGTTTAAAATATAGCAAACCCTAACAGGACATTTTACAAAACAAAAATTTTATTTAATCAAAAAAAAATCGAGGTTCGGACATCTCGCAAGTCAAAAAGATGGTGAGTTTAGGATAAAAATAAAAAACATGTTGCAAAAAACTACACCGAGCAGAGTATTTTAATCCAAATTAAAAAATACCTTTAAATTAGATGAATGGACAAATTTTAATTTACTGATAAATATAATAAAAATTAATAATTTATTTTGACGCGACTTTAACTTCATTATTTTGATGTTTCATTTAATTATACAAATAATTTAAACTACGGAAGAATAATTAGGTTTTCTAAATATTTAAAAAAAAAAAGTACCTTATATATCGTAGTCTAAACTATTAATCAATATTAACGGATTACATAAATATTTATATTATCTATACTTTTATCAAATCCAATTATCCCATCTTAGGAAACCTGTTTCTTAATAGAATCGGATGCTTCAAATCACAAAAAAATTTAGTCAACAAAAAAACACAAAAAAAGTCGACAAAAAAAAAAAAAGCGTAGTAAAACCAATAGATAAATATACAATACTTAAGTAACTACGGCTTTTTGTGAACATTTTGAGAACATTTTCATGTTTTTACATAATTACAAATAATGAAAAATATATGCTGGATTTATTTGCTAATTGTTAACAAATAAAGATAAAATTGCCGAAATTGCTAAAATATACTTAACCAAAAAAAAAAAAAAAAAAAATAGTTCTAGCAATTTTTATAAATAGGTTAGATCATCTTAGGAACCTGCTCATCATAGGTTACAAGCTTCTTTTTTTTAAATAAGAAAATTGTCTATTACTAAAAAGTTTCTTATTTTACGAGTTCTATTTTCCTAATCCAGTATTAATTCTTTAGAGTTTTTAAAATTTTTAAATATACTAATATTAAAAAATATACATATACATATTTTATTCGCACTCGAATTCCATTCGATTGCAGATGAAATACGTTTATCGTGTATTCATATATTTACGCGTGTATAATAAATACTTATTTAAAGGAAATACTCCTGAAACTCTTAATAAAATACTTATTTAAAAGTTACTTATTACTAAATGTTTCTCAAGATTTTGGGGCTTCTAATAATACTAGTTTCTTACTTAAAAAAAAAAATGTGTGCTTTATTCTACTAAAAGTTTATGTGTATTGCTTCTACTTAAAAAACTTTGTGTACAAACTGTGTTTGAAGAGTTTGACCGTAACTTCGGCGATAAATCCTAAAAAAGTAACATATCTTCAAAATATAAGAAAACTTTGTTTAAAACATATATAGTGGCAGGTAAATTGTACTAAAATACGATACCCCTAGTGATGGGGGTGAGATAAACTAATTCAATAAAATTTTTATCAAAAAATTCAAAAACTTTATATTGAAAAAAAAAAATAAATGCGATTATCCTCTTCTCCTAAACTTAGATTTATTAATTAGCTTTAACGAAAGGGAAAAAATGATCTTTTATTTTTATTTATTACTATATATAATTTATTTTTTGAAATTAGGCACAGCTTTCTAAATTTGAAAAAAAATTTACTTGCGTCAAATTCTCGCAGAGACACGCTCAAAATAAATTATTAAACCAAATTTACGATTAAATTTTAATTGTTTTCATCAAATGATTTTTTTTTTTACAAATTAATTGATAAACAACATTTAATTGGTTTTTAAACCGCGACTTGTAAATGAGATTTTTTACGTTAATTTACCTACCTAACGTTTTATGAATCTCTCTCCACGTAATTAAAAATAATTTGAACTTTTTTTAGCAAAAATAAAAGAATATTATTATCATAAATTTATTACTAATTTTATATTTATAATAATTTATCTTGAGTATAATTTATATTTATAATAATTTATCTTGAAATTATTAAATTCTCATTGCAGAAAATTTCAGAAAAAAAAAGTTTGTAAAAGGTTCACAACCTCGCAAATATGGCCAGTTTTTTGTTTATCATTTCCATTTTACAGTTATAGTAAACTTTACTTGCTCATAAAATTAAAGGTCAAAGTTTTTATTAATGAATTTTAAAATTCATTGATATATATTTCAATCATATAACCTAACTTTATAGAGGTGTACTTTAAACTAATAACCAATTATTAGGTTGCTATTTTGTTGTTTCTGAGCAAAGTTATAAGGGTCTTATATATTTGTTTTCTAAAGATTAACGTCCATGTTTCCATACTCTGCATACTCCCAGTGGGCACGCGTCGTCCTAGGGAAGTTTTTTGGTCGTCTTACGGACGTCCCCCGGAAGACGTATGCCCACTGGGCTCGGTGAGTTTTAATAATGCCATTAGAGATTGTCCATAAAGTACGTACGCTCGGAGAGAAAGAGGGAGTCTCCAAATGGCGTATATGGAGGGGGGGGGGGGCAGTGGGTGAATTATAAAAGTAAGGAGACACTAAAAAAAAAAAAAAAATCAGAAAATGATAGGCAGGTAAGTTAAAAGCGTAGCTACTTTTGAGGGGGTGGAGAGTACTCAAAAAAGCGTAGGGCAAAATGCGGTAGGGAAAGGATGAAGGAAAGGGGAGGGGAGGAGGTCGAAAAAACGTATGTACTTTATGGACGACCCCTTAGCTTATTTAAATATTTTATTATGGATTAGCTGAAACAATATTTTACAACTGGATGTCCTTCCTGACGTTACCTGTTTTAAAGATCAAGACTGAGTGCTTTTATTGGATACAACAAATAGGAGGATTACCACTACATGATTACCATACAGGTGATTACCATCCTACAAGCTCAATCTAACTTTAACTATAGTTAAACAAGGAAAGTTCAGATCAGAGTTTTTTTTCTCCTAGGTAAGTCGTTTCACCTGCCCCAATATAGGATTAGTTTAATGTCACGACTAGAACAATTATTTATAGTTTTATGATAAATTTTTTAATATAGTAAAACTATATTTTTTATTTATAGTAAAACTACCACTGTAAATTGTTTTTGAGAAAAAAATCAATTATGTAAAGAACATGCTATTTGCATGTTCTTTACATAATTGCTACACAGTTGCAGAAATCACTTACGACAAAATCAAGATCCCTCCCCCTCCCCCTCCTTATAAAAATTAAAAATATTTAAAAAAGTAAAGATTGAGGTATTTTGACATCGATAGATACTTTTAACATTGAGCTAACTTGATGTTTTATACTTAATTAAAAAAGAGTTTAATTAAAAAATATGAAAACTATGACAAACTATTGAATTTTTTTTTGATAAAAAAAAAAAATGCAAAAACAGCTTAAACGTGCACAACTTAAGCAACTCTTGAATAAAAGACAGTTTAAAGAAAAAAGTCTTTACTAATTGAAACTTTATCAATAAAATAAAAATTAAACAATTGGACTCCATTGATGAATACAACTGATTGATGTATGCAACTGATTTATTTTTGGAATTTCAAAAATAGATCAATTTAAGACATCGTATTTGATTTTATCGTATTTATAATATTTTCATATAGTTCACCGTAGTCGTTAAGTTTTGCAACATAAAAAAATTGTTTGCTTAGTTTGCTTTGACGCCGTTAATTTTGATTTGATCTTTATTGATTTGGATTTTTGATCGCGTGATAATAAAAAATAACTTCAAGGCCAGAGTTGATTTATAGGCAGCTGTCATCGTACACAACTCGTGTTTTTAAGAGATTTAACACAATTAAGAATAAATTGAAATTTTTTTAGTTTTAATCGTTAATATTACTCTTATTTTTTAAGATAATGATCTTAAAATCAATCGGCGCTTCTGATTAAAAGTAAATATTTAAGTTGCTGATCTTGTTTACCATCATCATCTTCTCATTTCATCAAGGCTTTTTATGGCAGTCGTGAGAATTTTTTAACCTCTATATTTTTTTTAGAAATTTAAATAGCAAATCGAATCTCAAATCAAAAAACCTATATATTCGCGAATCAAATCATATCTTGAAAAAAAAAAAAAAAAAGTTTCTTCCTATTTCAACTATTTATAAACATTTCCTCAAAAAAAGATGTTGCACGCTCAAAGACAACAGGTTTTTAGATTAACTGTAAACTCCTTTGAAAAATATAAGGTCCTATTAGAGCATATGTATTTTAGTATAAATCCTTATTTTGTAACTTAGTGTAGCATGGTAAGCAACTATTGTCATCAAAAAAATGTTAATGTTGCGTTGACATTTTTTAGAATTCATATTGTATTTAACCTTTATTCCCACTGATAATTTTTAGGGACCGGCTTAAAGTTATTTAATCTACCAACATCTATTTTCATTGAAAATATCACGTAAATAATGTTAGAAAAGAATAAACAAAACATAACTTGACAAAATAAAAAAAAATAAGAATAAAATTTATTTATTTTTTTAGGATATAATTATCAATTACAAATACTTTTGTAATTAATAATTATTTGAAATTCGATACGCTATTTAAATTTCTAAAAAAATATAGAGGTTAAAAAATTTTCACGACTGCCATAAAACGCCTTTATGAAATGAGAAGATGATGGTAAACAAGATCAGCAACTTAAAGTTTTATTTTTAGTCAAAAGCGCCGATTGATTTTATGATCATTATTTAAAAAAATAAGAATTATATTAACGATTAAAACTAAAAAAACTTCAACTAATTCTTAATTGCTTTAAATCTCTTAAAAACACGAGTTGTGTACGATGACAGCTGTCTATAAATCAACTCTGATTTATAGACAGCTGTCATCGTACACAATCTAAAAGATCAATTTTAACACATCTATAAACATGTTGTGTTTCCATAAACATATTCTTAGAGGGGTGTAAAACTATGAAAAAAAAAGCCTAAAAATGTATTTAATAAGCAAAGGGAGCAGGAAATCTTCCCGTACTATATCTTTTCTTTGACATATAGCTCAAGTTAATTAAACAATAAAAAACCTTGACCAAAAGAAAAGGCTATTATTGTTCTTGTTTCCAAAAGTGTTTAGTCTCTATTTATTGCTTAGAGGTTAAGGAGAAACAAAATAAAAAATAAAAAAATAATAAGCACTCTACTCTAACTTTGAAATCAAATTAAAAATTTTGCAACCATTAAAAAATAATAGATGTAAGGACAACATGATGTATGGCCTACATAGTTTATTCTTATATATGTATTCTACATAGTGCATTCTTCTGGCAACACAATGTATAGCCTACACAGAGTATTCTTACTCTATATTAAAATTAAATAACTTTGGTAGAATATACAAGAAAGGCCTGGTTCTTAACTTTCATTAACCAAAATGATTTGATCAGGTTTGTTTTCTTTATTTTATTTTATAAACTTTATAATATATTTATTTTGTTTCGTAAACTAAAGATAAAATACAAAATAAAATAAAAAAGTATTTTACATTCTCTCTAACACCAATGTACTTATGTTTATAATACTTTAAGAACTAGAAAATAAGTCCAATGTACTTTCCAACAAAAACTGTATTAATAATCATAATTACCTCAAGACTAATTTGATGCAACTCTTTGATATCATAATTAAGTTCTTCTGTAATTTTTTCAGCAAAAGTACACTGTTCAACTAATGCTGCCTGTAAGTTCACGTGATCCTACAAAGATTTAAATTAGTAGCATCATAAAATTTTTTTCAAAAAATACATTTAATGTAAAATCTTTTTTTATAAATTTAAACATTGATGAACATAAATTTCTCAAAAGGTTCAAAACTCACACTTTGAAATTCTAACTGATTTGGCTTCATTTGCCTTTTAACATAAGCTACAGAACTTTGGATGCATTTCAGGTGTTTACTGACATTAGCAATAACAGATGCGCATTCCAATAACCTTTATTTTTATATATAAAAAAAATAATCTTTATTTTTATATTAAAAAAATAACCTTTATTTTTATATAAAAATATTGTTACTAATTAATAATAAATACTAAAAAAAATGCAAAAAATGCAAAAATAAAAAATTACTATTAACAATAATTGAAACAATTACGTTAACTTATGTTTTGCTTCCATTGAGAGACTGCTCATCTCCCATTCGTTAGTGTGTACAGTGCGAATTGCATCAATAAGTTTTTTACGTATTCCAAGTTGAGTAATTCCAATCTCAATATACAAACAAAAAAATCTAATCTCTAATTTGCAACTAAATTTCTTACACAAAAAAATTTATAAAACAAAATATTTAATTGTATATAAGCAAATGAGGTAAATATAAAATGAAAAAAAATGTTTTTGATATACATATGTAACTAAAAAAATTGTAGAAATAACTCAATGTCTAAATAAAAAAACTAACAGAAAATAGTGCATATTATTATATTTAGTAAAAATCATTAGCTTTATCCTTGAATACAAACCAAACCAATTGGTAAAGAAAACTATAATTAAGAAAGCAGATTAAGATAATCTTAGACTAATACGAATTTACTTTTATTTAACAATTATTTCGCTAATGCTAACTTACCAGAGATTATAAACAAAGCATTATGGATAAAGAGATATTTGATATAGACATTATATATAAATATACGTTATGCCATCCATGCTAAAATATTAGAGATCATAAATAAACGAAATCACTCATGCCATACATGCTTAAAATCATCACTCATGCCATACATGCTAAAAATCATCACTCATGCAATACATGCTGAATTATTAAAGATTATAAATAAAGCAAGAGATGCTGATCTCATTTTGCTTTGTTTAAGACCCAATTATACAAACCGTTTGTATTAATACATTTTATATTCAAAAATAAAAATGTAATAATACGAACTATATGTTTCTATTATTACATTTTTGATTTTAAGTTATATCAAAAGATTTAGTTCCCATAATAAAAATGAATACTAAATCAAGACAAATATATGTATTTACTACTATATACCCTCAAGAAATTTTATTTATTCCTGAAAGTTGCAAATCCATACATTGTACATTTAAAAGAAAATGAGAAGCATCATAATAAATGTATACATATATAGTATATATATATATATATATATATACAAATAGTATTTCGTACTAAGGTAAGCAATCTGACATCATACTGAAATAGCCAGATTAGGTGGCTGCCTCTCCCACTATGCAGAGTAAATCAAATGTATATATATATATATATATATATATATATATATATATATATATATATATATATATATATATATATATATACACACATATATATATACACATATACATATATACACATATATATATACATATATATATATACATATATATATACATATATACATATATATATATATATATATATATATATATATATATATATATATATATATATATATATATATACTATATATATATATATATATATATATATATATATATATATATATATATATATATATATATATATATACATTTGGTTTACTCTGCATAGTGGGAGAGGCAGCCACCTAAGGAACCATCTAACAAAAGTCTAATAAAGGTCAGATAAACATCCAAAGATATGATAATAATATTTAATGGGAAATATTTCTTCATAAACTTATGAATTAAATATTGGAAATATCCTTTGGATATAAAGGATGTAAATAATAACAATGTTATTAAAAAATGTAAATGAAATTTGATAGATAATGCATGTGTGTATATATGTATATATATATATATATATATATATATATATATATATATATATATATATATATATATATATATATATATATATATATATATATATATATATATATATATATATATATATATATCCTTATAGTGTAGTCAAAAGAGTTGTTTAATGTAAAAAAAGTCTCTTTCGACTACAATTTTAATTACCTCGTCTCTTAAGCTGTATTTGATTGTCGTCGAAATGTCAAAGCAATTAAATTAATGCGGAAGTACATTAAATTTTATTGTTTTATAAAAATTTTTTAAAAAACCGCAATAATAACGACTAGAAAGTTTTTTTTAATTTGTTGTGTTTTTGTTTTTGTTTTATTAAAAAACATTTTTAAAACATGCGTAAATGTTGCTACATCGACTATCTTATAGCCTGACTCGCAACGGAGTGCTGCTACATCGACTGACAAATAGCCTGACTTGCAACGGAGTGCTGCTACATCGACTGACAAATAGCCTGACTCGCAAGGGAGTGCTGCTACAACGACTGACAAATAGCCTGACTTGCAAAGGAGTGCTGCAACATCGACTGAGGGTTTGGTTTGGGCAGGCAGTCTATCATTAAAAAAAAAACTAAGTTTTTAAACTTTTTCTGGTCTGGTTTATTAACGCGCTCTTTAAAACTACAGTTTATGGGAAACTCTTTTTAACTACCATGCAAGAGTATACATATATATATATATATATATATATATATATATATATATATATATATATATATATATATATATATATATAAATATAAATATAAATATATATATATATATATATATATATATATATATATATATATATATATATATATATATATATATATATATATATATATATATATATATATATATATATATATATATATATATATATATATATATATATATATACAGTATGTGCCAAAATTGTCACCATGTTTAAATAAAAAAATATTTTATATATATTTTAATAGAAAAGCTGTGAAGAAAAATAAAATTTTAGTTTTATTAACTAAATCTAAGACTTAGCTAACTGAGAATATTGCTTTTTATTAAATTTAGAGGATATTGAATTTTTTTTTTTAATTTTTATGTGAAGAGCTAATGGTGACAATTTTGTCGCAAATGAAAGCAAATAATATATTGTAGTAAATTAATATAGAGTGTATCCTCCCTTAGATTTAATTACAGCCTGAATTTTTTCAAAAACACTAGCAACCAATTTGCGACATTACTCGAGTGTAATTGAGTACCAAACCTCTTGTACACGAGCCCAAAGTTCATCCTTATTCTTAGGTGGAGTAGGAAAGTTGTAGACCCATTGTTTAACTCTTGCCCATAAATTTTCGAGTGGGTTAAGATCAGGGCATTGTGCTGGCCAGTCAAAGACTTTTAATTCCTTCTTGTGAAGGAATTTAATGGTTTTATCAGCCTTATGCTTGGGGTTGTTGTCTTGCATGAAAATTGTGTTACGTACAGTTCTGACCCATTTTTGAAGGGACTTGAAATATCTGACCTTAAGGATATTGATATAGTCATCAGCGTTCATTATTCCATTAATTTTTACTAATTCACTGACTCCACGAGCACAGAAACATCCCCAAAACAATTTTCTTCCGCCGATATTTAATGGTTGGTGTAAAATCTTGAGCACTTAATGGTGAATTAGGCATTCTCCAAATATATATTATACCATCTGATCCAAACATATTAGTTTTACTTTCATCTGTCCAAATCTAGTCATAAAAGTCATCAAAAGTCATGTGTGCATGAAGTTAAGCATAATTTAAACAAGCTTGGCGGTGACAAGAAACTAATGGCTTCTTGATCTTCCGTCTGGATTGAAAACCGATACTTTTGAGCTCTCTATTGACTGTCCGCACTGAAGCATGAGTCCCATAGCTGTTTTCCATTAAATTAGTAAATCCTTTGCAGTTTTAGACTCTCCAGAAGCAATTAAACGAGCAAATGTTCTTTGGTCTCTTGGTGTAAAAATTTTCCTCATAATCTCATATATAAAATCAAATTGCGCAATTTGATTTTATATATGAGATTATGAGACTTTCTGAACTCAGCAGCAATTTCGCGATAAGATTGTCTGGATTTAAGCCTTTCTGCGATATTTTTTTCTAGTTCAAGATTTATTTTCCTCATGATGATAATAACAATACTTTTTTTATGTTTTGTAAACAAAATCAAACTTTAAATGATATTTAATTGTTAAAAATCTGTGAAAAGTTGATCATTTTAGTCATAAGGCTATTAATTTATGTCGTATGCCTAACTAACTGTGGACAAATATGTTAATTGCTTTCATTCGCGACAAAATTGTCACCATTAGCTTTTCACATAAAAATTAAAAAAAAAGTTCAATATCTTCAAAATTTAACAAAAAGCAATATTTTTTATTATTCAAACATGGTGACAATTTTAGCACATACTGTGTATATATATATATATATATATATATATATATATATATATATATATATATATATATATATATATATATATATATATATATATACATACATACATACATATATATATATTATATATATATATATATATATACATATATATATATATATATATATATATATATATATATATATATATATATATATATATATATATATATATATATACATATATATATATATATATAGATATACATATATATACATATATATATGTATATCTATATATATATACATATATATATATATATATGTATATATATATATATATATATATACATATGTGACAATTTTAGCACATACTGTGTATATATATATATATATATATATATATATATATATATATATATATATATATATATATATATATATATATATTATCAAAGACTTCATTATTACTAGTCTGATCAAAAGAGTTCTAAAAATAGGTCTCAATAACCTTGATAAAATTTGGATAAAGATGAATTTGATAAAGCGAGTTTATCTACTTTAACATATTCAAAATTTTTTTGGTCAAAAAAATTATGAACATTTTGGTTGACTTCCCTTTGTTATGTCTGCTGTTTATATGTTGTTATAACTCGCTGAAAATTGAAAGTTTAGTTCCGTGTGCACAAATTATAAAAACTTAAAAATATGTCTTATTAACTTTAAAAAATCCTGACATCAGCATTTTTTTAAATTTGAAACCATAATATGCACAAAGTGGGCCAAAATTTTTGAATAATATATTTTGTGTACTTAGTAAAATGTGAATAATATATTTTGTGCACATTGTTGATGTTATTAATTATTATTTTTAAGTTATTATGCTTTGAAATATATTAATAAATACAGTTAAATAAAACTAAAAATGTTATCAATACCTAAATTTATTATTCACAAGTAGACAATTACAAAAAACTTTTAAGAAGAACTGAAGGAATACGGTAACAGTGCATGTGGCATGTATACACGATTATATTAACCCCAAAAGAAAAATGTTAAAATGTCAAACAAA